TTTTTTTTTTTTTTTAATTGATTAAAAGAAAAATATAAGTAAAATTCAAAATGTGTGATGTAGTGTGGTGTGATGATGTTGGATATTGGGTGGTGTAGGTGTAGGGGGACCGGAACTACCGGAAGTACGTCAAGAGAGGAGGGCCGAGGGAGGAGAATCAAGCAAAATCCACTTCCGTTATACACTTTTTCTCAAGGTCACCAATTCAAAATGGTTGATTTACTCTGTAGAGCAGAACGCGCCTATAGAAGCATAACTTCAACAATCATTTAAAAACAGATGTTTTAGATTTTTCAGTATTAAAAATATTTTCTGACGAAAATCATGTATTAATTCTAAAATAAGTTATAAAATTATAAGTACTTGCAAATAATTTAAATGCTTCCGGGCCATGTAGGATGGATACTTTGTATAGCAAATGTATGATGCGTACAATACTTTTGGTAGACATATACTACCCAAAAAAGTACCTGGTAAAATATTATAATATTATAAATATTATAAAAATACATTGAATAAAAAATCGATACCAGTTGCAATGAGCAATACAAGCATTTTTTTCCATGAACCTAGAGCCTTTAACTTGTACCTGGCCAAGTTTAGAGGGTATGTTTAGGGTGTAGGGTGACTTTTACAAGTCAAAAATAACAAAAGTATTGTATTAAGACTTATGTTGGTCGTATAGTACATTTTTTTCTTAATTCATTTAAGCATAAAGACAATAAAATGCATTTTATTTAAAACCTCTATGTCCCCAAAAAATTACAGTATTCATGGAAAGTCGTTGTTTGTTAGTAACAAAAAAAAAGTTAAAAAATTTTGTACTTGGGTTTATTGAAAGATCAAGATCACATTTCGTTAACACATTGACAGCTAAGCACAGATTTAATTTACCAATTTTGCAATATGTCGCCATATTGTTTATGGGCAACCAGACCGTGGGCATTTTGTTAACATTACCAATACCTATCAAATATCTAAATATCCCGAAATAAAACTGATTTTATCATGTAGCATTTTAATACGTTTAAAATTTTGCGTATTTCATTTTTAGCGCTTGATTTTTGTCGCAAAAATAATTTTTTTTTTTTAATTTCGAAAACACCTTGATTTTGCGTAAAATTATCTGCTAAACAGTTTTTTTCACTGAAGGCTGTTGTATCTGAACTATAACGAAATAACTGCAAAAAATTGTTTTTTCAAGTTATTTTGCAGTATCACAGGCAAAGCTCAACTCCTGAGTTTCAACTTTTTTTTAATGGCTCACTACATGCGTTGAGATCTTTTGTTTGAGCCCACTGTTATCACCTCCCACTCAAAGTCCGCGAACCCGAGTTTCAACCTATATGGAGCTAATCGGAGTTAGACAACGAGCAAATTCAATGTACTCTTGCAAACAAGTATTTAAAATATTTTGTACTGTACATCATTAGTATGGGAAAATTCTTTCTAAAGAAAGACATGATAAATAAAATGTAAAAAAATATATACGTTGCGCGATATTTTATTCTCAAACTTACAAATATTTTGAAAATTTAAGTATAATATTATTGATGAAATTCTAACTGGAGAAATACTATACAAAAAAATCTTTACTCAGAAAATACAGGTAATACTCCGTCATTACATTTCATTATGTATTAAATAACGTAATTTTCTCCAGTTTTATCATTTTCCATCACATTTAACAAATCCCAAACACAAAGTTTCGATAAAGCGAGGATAAAGTAGAGGTTTGTACTTAAAAAAGCCTTAATTTTTCATGGACAATTGTAGGTATCCTTACCAAGATGCAAAATTAAATAAGGGATATTTATGCCAATTGGACGTGAAAATAATTCAGAAGTGGAAATCGTCTATAGAGAAAAAAATTACAGTTTTGAAAAAAGAAAAAAATTTTTGTTAAAAATGNTTATTCTCAAACTTACAAATATTTTGAGGAATAATTTTTTCATAAATTTTTAATTTTATACATTTGTATATCACATTTGCATCCCCATCAGATTTACTGGAGTCTCTATGATAGCTAATAATCATCCTTACAAGATTAATTTTTAGAAATTTTTTTTGGTTGAGTTATTTTGTACACTAATAAAAATAACATTTTTCATTTGGATTTGTACTTTGAAATATGATTTCTGTATGAAATCACAGTGTGTAATAATAAAACCAATTATTACAAAGATAGAATAACGCGTGTACTAGCTTGTTTGATTAGCAAACTGAGTTAAGACAGACATCACAACTTCTCGGAGAGTCTAAAAACATAAAATAAGATCAATGATGAACATTTATTGAAACACTATCTGGCTGTACTTAGAAATGTGTATGTTTACCTGTGGCTTGCAATTTTCTTCCAACCAACTAAATACACAAGCAGATAATTCAGAAAAATTTGCAACTGATATATTGTCAAAAGATAAGAATAAACGGTCCATTATAGCCTGAAACTAGAATCAAGAATATTAAATTTGTATTGCTTTGTTTAAAATATTGCGTCGTATATTATATATGTAGTGGACTGCTTTTTTCCTATTTTTAACTAAGTTTAGAAAATTTTGAATGACCAGTTTTAGCTTCATTGCAATATAATGCATAACGTCAATTTAACTGTGTAAATAACTGCTACCAATTTTTTGATAATAGTTAATTTTGATGAAAAGCTACACCTTATTTGATATAGTCTTTGAAATCTTATCAAGTTGACGTTACTTACCACTTGAAATTTAGTTTCGTCCGAAATACGTGTTTCTGAATGTCCAGGTTGAGTTTGGTGAGCTTTAACTATCTGTTCATAATTCGTTTTCATTATGCGTAAAGCTATAACTTCTTTACGCAAAGCATTTCTTTCCTCCTCTTCATCCTTTTTTTTCTGTAGTTGAAACTGAATGTAATCAATGGACTTTTGGAGAACAGAGGCTTTAGACAATTTATAACCAGAAGCTTCTGGCTGCTGACAGTTTGGCACAAGATCTTGAAGCGCATCATATCCTCTCTTGATGGCATCTCTACGTTTTTGTTCCGCTTGAGTGTGAGCTTCCCGACGACGCTCTTTGTAAGATAACATTGAACTTTTGTTATCACTATCTTCATCCTCTGAAAATGAATAAATAATGATTATTATTAAACAACGGATTGTCCACGTCTTGAGTAAAATATAAAATAAACTGGATGTCATAATTATCAAATATACCTACTAAGGCAAAATAGCTACTGATAAGCGATTTGTTACAAACTTACCAGTATTGTGAGCAGAGGAAGACGGAGTATTCACAGAGCCTGTGCTGTTACACCGAGAAAAATTGTTCTTGTCAATGGGACTGGAAGGTTCCAGCTTGTTATCACCATCAGAGGAGCCTGTGCCATTGTTGTTTCCTCCAGCCATGCGCATACCTGTAAACACAAGAAGCCTCGATGACTTTGGACATAAAAGGGCGTTTTGATGGGCTCTCGATGCAAAATTAACAAAGAGGCAGAAAAAATAAAAGACCCAGGGATCATAAGGGATGCAAACAGAATCACTTACGCAGTTCATACTGTTGCGATTGAGAGACGTCGTCCATCCTGGACTATATATGTTGGCTACAGATGACACTTGGCTACACAGAACACAGCTGGATAAGTGTGAAAAATGAACGACCCTCCTGTGGCAGGAGTCCTGCTTCTACCTTCACTATCCGCACTGCACTCGAGCAAAGATTATATTGTTATCATTTTTTATTATTATTTTTATTGTTTTATTATGTTATTAGCTTGCTCTTTTTCAACGTATACTACTGTAGATGCTATACAACATCATAACATGGTATGAATGTAGCCTAACACTAACTTGAGTTACTTAATTTTTGGAGCAATTCGTCCCAACTTAGCTGACACACGTATATGTATATGCATGAGAATTGAGAACAACATATAAATCATAGCCTAACACTACATCAGGACAAACGGAAACGGTGCATTACCTCCATCGTTTGTAATTGTATTGTTCTGATATCTTAACTATCGAGAGATTAAAAAAAAACACTTTTTGGTGTGTTCATTAATAAATGTAATCGAGTGTGATATTTCGAAAATATATACACAAAATTCTTCAAGTCCCTCTGCTACTGTCAGGCCAGAACTTGTAGGGCATATAGTTACAACGTTATTACTTGGAAGTCCTTACAATGTTGCAAAAAGTGAAGTAGCAAAAATGGTTTTGCATAGTTAAGCAAATTTACATAAAATCTATACTTTTAGATTTCAGGAATACTCTTTTTCTGCGCAATTAGCCAGTGAAGTGTACAATATTTATTAGATGAATTCGTACTTTAACCTCAACATTGCTAATAAGGAGTTGAAACTACAAAGGTGAGAAATTAACTGTAACTATTTTTTGGAGTTCTTAACTTACTTATGTCGATAGAAAAAAAAATATATATATATAAACACTGGTAGTTCTCAAATCAATCGATGAAACATACATCCTAGATATAGAAAGTCGTGATTTAAGCTGTTATTTTGTCCTGCTCAGTTGTTGCTTGAAACGTGCAGCAATTAATTAGTTAATGAGTATTTATAACAAGTTTTTTTACATTTTTTTGAAATTTGTTGGTTTGTGGTTGATTTTAAATTTAACTGTCAAAAGATGATTTTTTTCCTACCATTAATTTTTATAATCAAACATTCTAACTGCTGCTTTCCCAGTATTTTTTTCTTAGCTCAAATGTACTCTTAAAAAAGCTTCAATGAATGTCGCTGCTCAGACAATATTAACGCATGATATTTTTTGTTCAACAGCTTATGAGGAACCTGCTAGAAATCAAAGGTCAGAAGACTTACAAAGTGTCTCATCAGCTAAGATAATTTCCAGTCACATACAACAATTAATACTCAACAGTGGATTCAAGAGGCTGGTAATAGGTTCATTAATTACATTATACAGCTGAAATAAGATTTTTTATTAAATACAAGAAAAATCTTAAAACACTGCAATCAGATAAAAGTCTAAGTCATTAAAATATTTATAATTGCTTGGCTAAGAACAGAAAATGCAGGATTCTGTTTACATTGACATAAGTCCACCACATCAGTGCGAAACATGCAAAAAAATTTTCACAAGTAAATATGCACTCGAGCAACACAGTACAACACATACCGGCAAACGCCCTTTTATGTGCAAAATTTGTGAAAAATCCTTTTCTCGAAAGTATAACCTTAATCAACATTTTCTAACTCATACTGGAGAACGTCCTCATAAATGTAAATATTGTGAAAAGTCTTTTACTAGAAAGGCTTACCTTGATCAACACACTCTCATGCATACGGGCGAACGACCTCACATCTGCGGGGTATGTGGAAACGCATTTGCTAACAAAAGTGCCCTTAAAAGACACAGTCTTACACATAGTGGTAAAATTTGTGATGTGAGTAACAAAAGCCTAAATATGTACCAATGAACAGCTGCGGACCAGCTGCGGACACCATCATTCAGCAGATTCTTAATTTTTTAACTGAACTGCTATGTTTCCAAATGAAAATTATTTCATGCAATGGTCATTTAAACATTATTAAGCCTCTTATTAGTATTGAAAATTTTTGTGTGAATTGGTACATAAAAAAAAAAGTTAACGTACAATAACAAAAGTAAGTCAAATGTGTGGAAGTACTGTACGTTACACAGAAAAAATATTTTGTATTTTTGTACATTTACGTTTTTAAAAAACATGTTTTGTGGATGATAAAAATTATGTGATGAATATGATGAAAAAAGAACTCATTAACTCTTTATAAGAATTATGAAATCAGTGAGTAAGTTTATGGATGGGTAGTATTGTAGATTAGGTACACAGAATGCAAAGTATGCAAAATTGTTTGATTTTGTAAAGACAAAGATGTTATATGAATAAGAATTTTTGTAATTAATATATTGAAAGAGGATATCATGGACTTGAATAAAATAACTTTTCAAATGTTGCTGTAGGTAATGCTCCCAAAAGGTAGATGTTAAAATGTAATTATTATTTAATGTTAACATGTACGAAATTAGGAAATATTTTGTATTTAGTAAGTGCTTTACTCGCAAATACTTTAATTTAAGAATTTTTAAGGTATTGTAGCGCTTAAATTACATTTATAAGCATGTCATGTAGCATTGACTTTATTTTTTAAGTTATAGGAATGGTTGTAAAATATTGAAAAAAGTTTTTTATACACATGATTCATTACAAATTTTTCTTAAGCTTTATTATTAATGTAAGACCAAAAAAATATTTATTATTGGTTCAAAAAAATTGGACAATATGGGTAAAAATGTGACATCTATATGATTGTTAAAACAATCGGTAAAATATTTTTGTTCTACGTGATGTATAAATTAGTACTAAAAAATTAAAAAATACCAATTATATAAATTTACTTCCAAAAAAACAAGAAGCCTCGATGACTTTGGACATAAAAGGGCGTTTTGATGGGCTCTCGATGCAAAATTAACAAAGAGGCAGAAAAAATAAAAGACCCAGGGATCATAAGGGATGCAAACAGAATCACTTACGCAGTTCATACTGTTGCGATTGAGAGACGTCGTCCATCCTGGACTATATATGTTGGCTACAGATGACACTTGGCTACACAGAACACAGCTGGATAAGTGTGAAAAATGAACGACCCTCCTGTGGCAGGAGTCCTGCTTCTACCTTCACTATCCGCACTGCACTCGAGCAAAGATTATATTGTTATCATTTTTTATTATTATTTTTATTGTTTTATTATGTTATTAGCTTGCTCTTTTTCAACGTATACTACTGTAGATGCTATACAACATCATAACATGGTATGAANTTTAAAAGAGTACTCATTCATCAAAAAATTTTATTTTTTTACACCCAGCTTCTCAATTATTACGGTGTACTCGGCTTCAGGCAAACATCATTAAATTGGGTACATAAGGTTCGAGCCACGTTGGGTACATAAGGTTCATTCGACAACCTGTTTAGGTTGACTGAGAACTGAGACGACTCCATTCCATAGTCCATAGCAATCACAAAGATTTGCGCATTCGCTCGGGCGCCACGTCTCACAGTTTTTATTTAACCACGATGGACCCGTTCCGAATATTGTACTGACGAGTGTACCCTGGTGCCCCTGGTGGTCCTGGTACGCAAGCAATTTTTCATTTGGAACGTTTCAAATTGAAAGATGGTGGCCACAGTGTAAGATATACAGGTGGTGAGGTGGTTCCATCGCTTGATTGCCTACAGTAAATTTTTGTAAACAAATTGTGTCACTTCCGCTTTCTTGCACCAGGTGTCGCATAAGAAATGAACACTGAGCAGACCTTGTATAACGATATATGAAGGTGTTCGCCAATACAAGTAGTATAACTATGTATGTGTGGTGTTTCCATTTTGCCATCTGCTAGATCGTTAATGAAACAGCAAAAATATTACACAAAAAATATGCCTACATGGGGCCACCTGTACATCTTACACTGTGATCGTGTGGCAGTAGCACCTCCAGACTCCAGAGTCCAGAGTACTCCAGAGTCTATGTTCATACCTAATAAATACATAAAGTGTCTACATATCCGACAAGAATGTGGTCCGAAGGCCAAGACCAGGGCCTGGCCAGGCAAGCCTTATATCGATGCCAAGGCCTGGGCAGGGGCCCAGGCTATGATCAGGGCCTGGCCAGGGTATGTGTGTGTATGAATAATAACATATATCTACTGTTCAGTACTACAGTAGGGGTTATGGTAATTATATGTATATTCAACGGCTCCAGGAACTCCGCGAATGACTTTCGAATTGGGACATGAAAAAAATACCCAAAATTGCGGAATCGTTAGCAACGTTTGCAATCACTTTGCAAAAAATTGTCGGATCTTCCGGTTGTCTATAAAAAAATAAAAACTAAATGGTCCAGCGAGAGTCCGGATAAGTACGTTGTCTGGCTCAAATACTCCATATACGGCTATGAAACTTACTTTAGTCGTTTGCAATTTAATTGTCGATGATGATTATCTATTGCATTATTGTAAAACTAACAGAAAAACAATGTGAAATAATTATTTCAGTCATTGCGAATGAAGTCTTCTCTGCAGCTATATATATAGATATAGCTCGAGAGCAGACAGCTACCAAACTGGCGGAAAATTCAAATATGTCGCACAGTAGAACAACTTCTATTAATATCAAGATTTATAATTTAAAATAGATATTGAAGAAAAACTAACACATGAGTNCTTTTACACGTGGGCTTTAAGGCCCGAATCTCGGCGCAATCCGGCGCTATCGCACTACTTCGCGACAATCACTCTTTCCCCCGGACTCTCTTGTTCTCGCACATCACGCAACCTGGGGGAGTCCCGCACTACTCGATCCCCCAACACACACGTAAGAACACACACACGCTCGCACACTCTACTTTACCCTTACCTCCGGGTTCACCATGTTCCGGGTCAAATCAGCTCTTGGCCTGTCGATGCCCTGGTCTCGCAGATGACAGCTGGGGTCGGCGATGGTCCGCGTCTCCTTGGTCGTCGGTCGCAAGGTCGTTTCCGGCTGGCTTGGGAACTGATTCTCCGCTCTTCTCCTTCTCGCTCTCTCTCTCGATTCTCTCTCTCTCGATCTGTGCTACCGGAAACGCGAAAACTCGGGAAGCTCTGGTTCGCTCGAAGGCTACTACAAGAGTGTCGCGTTAGGCCCACCAATTGGTGCAGCCTCGCGCATTACCACACTATATCTCTATACATACTTCTGATTCTTACCGCCAGGACATTAACGCGTTTTAGTGACACACAATATTTAATTTTTAGGAACATACAAGAAAATCATGATTGAATTTTTAC